CGTTAAACACTACAGTCCTTAGTTACTTGTGTGTGCCTCTTCTAGTATAAAGGCAGACATACAAAACATAGACATGTTGTTATGGCGCCTCAGATATGCACAATATTTGCTTTTTTAATTGACAATCGCACAACTTTGAACACTAAACCTTGAGCAATATTGGTGGCCGCTGCGGATGGGGTTGGCCGTTTAGTGCCATTTGAGGTATCGTTAGGGTGGACAAACGGACAAATGTACAGACAGACAGACCAAAATTTTTTTGTCGAAGGTCCCCAAGAAAGACTATCATCTTGAAAAGCACTCCGTGCCTTCTACAACGCTGTGCGTCGTCTGCTATGGAGCAAGATTGACGGCACCGGGCGTGTAATTGTAAAGCAGTCGCTGGTTTCATAGCATAAGATTTATATGTACTTTTTGTGTTTGCACAATCTTTTTTTTTTTTGCGAACCTGCAATCTCGTGAGTTGGCGCACGGCATTCCGTGCCAGAGTTATTCAATTATGAGTTGGAAACTGCGTTCCAAAATCCGGACACGCAGTTAGCCCAATTTTTTAGGAGTTAGCTGACGTTTGCGCCACCTGGGAGTGGCAACACAAAATACAAATAATGCGTTTAATAGTGGGCGTGCGGATCAAAAGGTGGCGCGACAATCTGCTCACTCCCGACAAGGGGGCCAATGACGTGTCCGGATCGTGATAATGATTTTGCTCCATCACTTCGCCTTGTCCGACGAGAAACGCAGGGGCACAGTACACAAACACACCCGCTGCTCACTGTAGATACCAGGCTTTGGGAAACTCTCCTCGTCGTAACTTCACTTAGGCTAAAATAAAACGCCATGAAACAAACACGCACGATGTTTGTTTGCATCAGTATGTCGCCGCGGGATCCTGTTTCCAGACGAAGCGCAGCGTAGCGTCACCGATGTTTGCTGCAATCTATCTTCGCCGGCTCAAGGTTCAGAACACATGTGGCACAAATTGTGTGTCGTAAGCTCACAATAATATTTCAGGCATGACAGACCACCACACATAACTAGAATTCACTCGGACAAAGGAAGACGCACACAGCCAATCGGACTCGACCCATTTCGAAGCGAGCACGGCCAGGTTAGGTATGTTTTCCATCGTCTGGGTCAGCGGCTAGAGTGTAGTTCGGCACATGACGTCACCTGAAGTGCGCGTCTCTTGGTGGAGGCTCGTGTACATCTGCCTTTGAGGGGAAAATGCTGCTGCCTTCTTAAGCTGTACCCGGCTATAGACCACCTGATCTTCACCATGATTATTTATGATGTAATGCTGGCAAAGAGATAATTTAATATCAGTCCTGTTAAAAGCCTTCAAAATTATTTCGACGCAAACCTGGACCACTGTTCTTGAGTCACTGGACAAATTTTCTAGTATCGCATGTGTTTTCTGCGCGCTGCCATGTCTCTTCCAAGTGCTTTAGGGTGCGCGCGCACTGAAAGCTTTTAGCATTGGCACAATACTTAAGGGTATTTTGTCGCTTTTCTAACGCGCCATGCAGATGCGAGGAAGTATACCTTAAGATCAACTGACTGTCACCTGAGAATCTCATTTATTGCCGCATTCCGTGTGAGGAAAAATGCTGTAAAAGAATGCTCTACGTGACTGCATAGAGTTGATCGCAAAGAATTCGCCCGCCTACAAGAACACTCATGCAGTAACTTACGTGAAGTTTGCTGGAAATAGTCCCATGTGACAGGATATTTCACCTTATCCGTTCGCGCTGCTTAGTGATTGAACACTGAGCAGAGTGTGCAATCACTGAGCAGAGCGAATCACTGAGCTCTGCTCAGTGATTCGCTCTGCTCAGTTTTTTGTCAGAGGCGGCTGGTGAGTGCAGCAGCGCAGTCGTTCTTGCGAGCGTTCGCGTAGCTTGCACGTGTGATCAAAAGTGAGCGCGACAAAAATTTAACTGCAAGAAGTGTCGTGCGCAATGTCAGCCTCACTGGAAGACTACACCACAACACTCTGCCGGAGAGAGCTCGAACAATACGAAGAAGAGACGAGAATTTGCTGAGTGGACCAATTCAAGCTTCGTGCGGGCGACTGTGTAAGCGACGTGGACTTGTGTCTGCGTGTCGACAGCCCCGCTATTCTCGAATTTCTCGTTCCGAGAACAAGCTTGATTACCTGGGAGTGGTTGAAGTGGAGAAAGGCTCTCTAGGGCCACAACTTTGTGACGAGGGGCTAGGGGGGGGAGTCGTGGGTGAAAAAGTTGCTGCCGATATCGTGATCGTCATCACTCAAGTAAAACATGTTAAATTATTTGATTTTTCCGTAGGTGCTAATTTTTGTTCCTGTCCAGGTTAACCACTCTCAGTGCGTTTAAAAGTACCCCGTTGACTTATTGTTCAAAGAGTGATGCCGAGGTCTCTGCCACGCTCTGCATATGCCTGACCGGGAACGGCGAAGCCTGCTCCCATCTCACTGCACTGTTATTCTGCATGGAGTACGGCACGAGAAGAGCGCTCCTCAATTTAACACGTCTTACTTGAGTGACAACGATAACGGTGTCCGCGGCGGTTTTCTTCACTCACGGCTTTCACACCCAGCTGCTCGTTACAAAGTTGTGGCCCTCGAGGGCCTTTCTTGAATTCAACCGCTCCCGACTAATCAAACTTGTCCTCAGAACGAGAAATTCATGAATATCAGAGCTGTCAAAGCGCGGCCTCAAGTCCGCGTCACTTATACAATCGCCCGCATGAAGCGTGAATGGCTGCACTCGGCAAATTCTCGTCTCTTCTTTGTACCACTCGAGGTCTTTCTAGCACAGCGTTGCGGTGTAGTCTTCCAGTAAGGCTGACATTGTGCACGACACTCCTCCTTAAAGTTAAACTCGATCATGCCTGCAAGCTATGCCAACGTTTGCAAACACGACTGCGCTGCTGCACTCCCCAGCCACCTCTGACAAAAAAATGGCTGCCTAGCCAGAGTGCACAGCGTCGCCGCCGTTCGCGCAAGCCCCCTATTGGGCTGGTTAGAAAAGCTGAATGTGTGACATAAAAATATAACGTGAATTATGCGGTTTAAGCTTTTTTTTCTTATCGGCCTAATATTATAAACACTTCTCACGCTCTCAAGTTGCTCATGTAAACGTGGAACACTGTTTCTTATGGGAATTTATTGCTGGGTTGTTGTGGTTCGTGACACTTCCAGTAGGTAATGCACGTTTTCAACTGGGATGCTGTTTTAGCATATGCTTTGAAAATTTTTGAGCTATGCTATTTTTGACCTATAATCTAAGAATTACTGTGCCGAGAAAGCTGTTATAACCTCACATGATGAAAAAAAAAAGTTGCAATCGAACCGAATCCAGCTGCTTGTGCGCTGCCGACATGAGAAGAAAACTTTTATGTCGGAGCACAGCAACATCTCAAGCACACGCCTCATATTGTTTCAATTAAGTGCTGTTGGTCAGTTTTTAATCGCCTATTTTTCTACAAATACGTTAGCAAATGACAATGCATTCGCAAAGAAGATGCGGTGGTAGCTACCGCTTGTCAAGTGGCCCATACGTTGGGCTGTTAATATTCCAAACCGAGACGTAAATATGTCAAGCACAACTTTCAATTACCGTACACACACCACTCCTATTAAACATATCAATAATCTAAACAGCAAGTAGGGTTCATGAGCAAAGTATTATTCAGTCTTCAATCAATGGACGCAACCGAGTGCCGTGTAGTGAGCCTGAACACAGATGGCCCATTTAGCACACCGCAAAAGTAAGCACAGGCACGCGAGTTTCATGTAGTAAAGAAGTAACTAGCATCTTGTGTGAAGTCACTGAACACATTTGCCTGCATACATAGCGAACACAACCGTGACGAGAAACGAGACTGATGAAGTCATGAAGAGAGTTAGCGAGGACATGGCGTCACTTGCCTAACATTACATTAACAACCACCCCGCTTACCGTGCCGTTCATTGAAAAACACGGATAACTGGAAATTCTTTTCTAGTATTGCCTTGAAGATACACACGCACGTATACCAGTTCCGCCGAGAACAACATGGCATGCACTGTGAAGTGAACCTGAACAGTGACTGCATATTTAGCAGATTTCAATGTAGTACAAACACAATATTCGCTTAGTGTAGAAGTATATGGCGTCTTGTGTGAAGTCACTGAACACGTACACCTCCGTACCGAGTGAGCACGTCCGTGACAAAACGAGTCTGACGAAGCCATGATGGCTGTGAAGAGAGTTTGCGAGTACATGACGACACTCGCCGAACACTACAATCACAAGCACGCTGCTTACTGCGCAGTTCATTCATAACCATCGATGACTCGAAATCACTTCTAGTATCTTCTTGAAAAAACATACACGCATGTTCCAGTTTAGGTGAACGTAACAAGGCATCGAGGCGGAAAGATCGGTCTACTCTCCAGGCATGCTAGCAATGCTCCGGACAGCCTGGAATGAATATGGCCGCCGCCACTCAATGTTGCTCGTGTAGAGCCTCCCTTTGCAGTACTCTGAAATGTTTTCAAGTGACTCTAGTGGTATAAACATCAAAGCACCACCTTTTGGTATTCCTAGTTTCACATGGTACTGATTTCCAGTTGAAGCAGTGAACACAATTTTGAATTGCCATAGTGGCTGGTTCTAGTCCTATTTGTTATCAGGAGATTCACATTGTATGTAAACATTAAGGCATCAGCTATGTACACCAGCTTTCTCTTGTAATGTCTCACCCCCACTCTGTTTTGCCTTCATAACACTTAACAATTGGGCGTGTATATAAGAACTGTTGGCCAGGATTTCATTTTGCATTGACCTTTGTTAAGGATTTGAGCTGATGTTCTAGATTAAAAATTCTTGTGCTACTTCAGTTGTCATCATGTGCAGTTTTAAACTGTCTTGTTCAAGAAAAATGACTCCTCTCTTTTGTCGTTGCCACTCAGGTGCGGAGGAAGAAACTGTCTTGTTCAAGAAAAATGACTCTTCTTTTTTGTCATTGCCACTCAGGTGCGGAGGAAGAATGTCGTCAAAGACTTTGTCTCAGTGGCTGGGCTGCTACATGTGACACACCTGGTGGTCTTCACCAAGACCGAAAGGGCCATTTACATGCGACTAGCAAGGCTACCTCGTGGGCCCACACTCACTTTTCGTGTTGAAAACTATGCTCTGGCTCGTGACATCATTTCAAGTTTAAAGAAGCCAGTCACATACACACATCAATTCAGCTCTCACCCACTGCTGGTGCTGAATAACTTCAGTGGTGAAGGCATGCACTTTAAGCTTATGGCCTCCATGTTCCAGAACATGTTTCCATCAATTAATATACACACGGTAAGCAAAAGCTGTGTGAATTGTACGTTTGTCCTTCTTGCTTTGCTTTTGTGCTGCTTTCTTCGCTTTTGATGCAGTTGTATCAGAAGTGGAGAAAACAATACACGATCAGACTAGTTTGATTGAACCCTTTATCAAATTAAAGCACTAAATTCACATACCAAGAACAATTTTAATTCCCCCTCCCCCTTTTTTTAGGTGAAACTGAACACTATAAGGAGATGCCTCCTCCTGAATTATGATTCAGTGGACGAGACTATTGATTTTCGCCACTAGTAAGTGTAACATTTCTTTTCAATGCTTAATCTGTGCTGAGTACATGCATTCATTTTATGGCAGCTAGTTACGCTCCACTTTATCCACGCAGTGTTTCCTTACATGCAGTCTATATTGGACATGATGGGGTGTTTCTAATGTTGGAGTAGGAAAGATGCGAGATGAGTGATGTAAAAAATTGTGAATAAGTGTTCTTTATGTAGTTGCATTGATATTGCGAAAATGGTATAAAATAAAACTATCGAACTTCAGTGATACATGGGCAAGGGAGCTATGAAAGAGGATGGCCATTCCTTTCCACATATTTATGTTTTAATCTTTTTAATAAACCCCTAGCATCAAAAATGAAAAATCGAGATGTTCATGCTGTTTATTGTCCTGTATATGTGGACATCTCTGGCCGATTCCTAGAACAGTGTGGACACTTGAAGTTATAAGCGAGGTTGAAGGAGGTACACACACGGAATTTTATAGTAGTGGCAAACCTTTCCTTCAAGATGTTTTAATTTGGTTTTAAAGTAAGTGTGAGTCCTAATGTGAGTCGGCAATGACAGTGCCAGCAATACTATTAAGATAGGGGTCTCTGACATGAAGCAAGTAGAGCAAGTATTGTCAACGTGCAAACAAGTTTGCTGAGTACACAATGTCATGATGGCGCCCGACGGGAACTATTGTTCTTCGCCCGCTTTGCTCTGTTGTCGGGCTGCTCTCAAGGTGAATCTTGCTGCTTACACCCGTGCCATTTTGAGTACTGTAGCAACGAATGTTTTCTTTTTCTAAGGGGGCACACACTTGACAGTGAAGTGGCTGCGTGGCAGGCAGTTGTGTTGCATGTTATTTCAATGTATGTAGAAATTTTGGCAGGAGGAATAGGGGTGTCGCACGCAACTGGTACCTCAGCAGTACCTACCTCAGTTCATTCTTTCCTGCTAATGGGGCCCCAATAACTCTAGTCCTGATTCAAAAAGTGTACTCTTAACATACTGCCGCAGGTCGCGGGATCGAATCCCGGCTGCGGCGGCTGAATTTCCGATGGAGGCGGAAATGTTGCAGGCCCGTGTGCTCAGATTTGGGTGCACGGTAAAGAACCCCAGGTGGTCGAAATTTTCGGAGCCCTCCACTACGGCATCTCTCATAATCATATGGTGGTTTTGGGATGTTAAACCCCACTAATCAAATCAAATCAATCTCAACATGCTGAACATGAAAGCTTGAGCTTATGTGATGTAATAGTACTACACTGCGGTGGGGCTTTACTTTATGATTTAAGGTAGACGTGTTGAAGTACTGTATTTATTTGCATAATTTGCACATATTTTTTTGCGATTCTGAGCCTGCGAGAAAGGGGGTGCACAAATTACGCAGGGTTTTCGCGAACCCATACAAAATAATGTGCAATAGTCCTAACGCACGAAGTATATAGTCTATACATCGTGTATATCGCGTGAAGCAATAGTCCTAACGCACAGAGGACCTAAGTGTTCGCACATAATTGAAAGGTCCTTCTTCAATGGCAGGAAACTTGTATCGCAAGAGAACAGTAAAAACATAAACGACGCATGGCGAAACCTAAACTTTTGAAATCAACCAAGCCTGCGTTGCAGTGTGGACGCAGTGAACGAGGGGAACAGTTGGCGCGACAAGCCCAGCAGGCCCATTTCACACCTCCGGTGCCGAAAGTTGTCCGTGCCATGACGCGAGCGTGCATTCACAGGGTGGTAGACAAGGAGAGATAAAGGAGGACAAATACTTGAGCAGTACCGGCGACCTGTCAACAAGTTTGAGTGTAGTGCATGGTATTCTAAGGACCCAAGTTCGGGGGTACTCTTCGGAAGAAGTGACTTCGTACTCGCAGTTTGTTTGACTCGCACGCCTGCTCGGCGGGGCGCGTGTCCGGCGGGCCCGTCGACATGTCTACAGTCTCTTCCTTTGCGTGGCAGCGAGCTGGCTCGGGCGGGTCGGGGAGTGCAAAGTATGCCAGCAAATATTTTTTTTCCTAAAGCTGACAAAATATTAGGGCTGCACAAATTATGAGATAACGTACATTATACGAGTGAATATGGTAATGCTAAAATTGATCATAATTCACCATACTAGCATTAATTACATGTTAAGTCATATACAATTCACGTTTATCATTGTCAGACACAGAGCTACTAATTAAGCAGAAGTAAAAACTAAAATGTGACTGTCCAGAGTTTATGTAGTGGAGCTTAGATATTGCCACATTTCTATGTTTCATACTGAATTACTAATAACAATGTCGGGGAAGACTGACTTTGGAGCTGGCATACTCTCAGCTATCTTGCCCATGCTTGGGCGTTGTGTAAATGTATTGTAAATACACTTAATGTCTCTGTCCTCTCTCTCAAAACATGGTGGAGGTACTGGGTACTTGTGCACAACGGAGCTCTGCTGCGGCTACCAAAGCACCACTTGAGGCATGTCTGCTGGTGGGGATACAGTGTCAGTGTGCAAGTGCACATGTGGGCCTTAGCTAAGCATAGTGGTAAACACTTGGGCCAGGTCTGAGTTTAGTAACAAAAGCATGAACTTGGTCCCTCAGTTCTCAAAATGAGCCTGAGCTGGGCCTAGACATGTCAGGCCCGTGCAGTGCTCTAACACAGAGTCCACGGTAGTTATGGTCTTGTACGTACTTCTGTAAAAAAAAGCATTTATAAGATCGGTACATAAGCAATGTTGTTCATGGAAGGCAGTTTACCTTATTTTAAAAGACCTTGTGTGTACAGCACAATAAGACTGTCATCGAACACTGGGGCACACATTTGGTGACCCTAAGTTGATGAGATCCTCTTAGTTCAAATGGCAAGCAACAGATGTGGCTGACAGGCCTTTATACATTGTGGCAATACTGTGGTATTCTAGACACGAGCTGTACTTAAATGCTAGTTTAAATGTCTGATACCATTGGACCAGTGAAAGTTCACTGCTTGCACATGAAATGCAGAGTTCTTTGCTAGCAATGTGTATGCAAAGGATGCTTGCACTAGGAGCAGTATTTAAAAAACTGTATGTTTGTAAAGTGTAGCAGAATGATGAAAGAGGCACTAGGCAAATACAGCATGAAAAAATGAATTTTATAATATTACCTAGACCAATTTGTCATCCTGCTTGTAGTCCATGTATGGCAGAAGCAAAAGGGTGACAGTGTGCCTCGTGCATCACATAGAGAGAATGCATCTCAAACTGCAGTGCCACAGCTGCAATGTGCCTTTGGAAAAATGAAGTGGATCCCAAGCATAGATAACTTAAATTTAGAAATTAGTACATGTATGCCAAAGTGTAGTGGTGTATATATGCATATATGGTGTTTCATAAGTGATTTAAAATGCTTAAGGTGGCATTGCATTGTGCAGTACCATCAAGGTGGCTCCTTGTGGCATCAATCGAGCTGTCAAAAAACTTGTGCAAAGCAAGGTTCCAGACTTGGGGCACCTGCGAGATATAAGTGAGTACGTGGATCAGGGAGGCCTGTCGGAGAGTGAAGCTGAACTGGATGGTGCTTCTAACCAAATTATCTTGCCCCAGAAGATCTGCAGCAGGGGCAATGTGCTTAACCAGCAGAGCTCTGTTCGGTGAGTGTACAGCATTCGAAAAAGAAGTAAAATGCCCTTCATGGCACTTCTCATTATCTTTGGAAGTTCTTTCTGTGTGAGGTCTAGCTTCAATCTGGGCTTTAGTTTGCTAAATTTGTGCTGCAGCTGTCATTTGTTCAAGCCATCTGTCTCTCTTCCCTTGTTCTGCCTTGTATGTATGTGAAAAGCAAAACTATGATGGGGCTGAACATAGAACCTCCCTTATACCTGGACATATTTGAACACAGTGCATGACTACGCGAACAAAAGAAGAGAACAAGAGAAGAAGGAACAAACCGTCCCTTATACCTGCCCTTTGTTCTTTGGACTGCATTGTGGTGGCATTTTGTGTACGTAAAATTTCGAATTGTGTGGTATTTGAAGAAGCATAACCAGAAAGACTACTTGTTATTGATATCTTGTTCCCTTTCATACGATGATTCCCAAGGGCCATTGCCTGAGATCGAATGTGTTTTATGCGTTCTGATGAATACAGAAGCCCTCAAATTCCTTTCTTCTACCACACACAATCCACATGAAGTGTTACACAAACCACTCATACGTAGTCTGCATGAAAGGAGTGATGCTGTGACTTCTTTGTACTTTGCCTTCTCCCTCATCATTCTCGATGGGTGCAAATAAATGTTCTTTCTTTCTTTTTGTACTCGAATTCATTTGAGTGAGGTTTGCGACGCGTGCGCCCGCGAGACAACCACGGCGCTTGAGGGTCTTTTGTCGGTGTGGGCAACAGTGCGCAAATTGAGAGCTTTTCAGAGTGAAGTGGTGTGGCAGCGAGGTAAGTTGCCAGCAAGACAAAACTCAGATTTCACACGAAATTCTCCAATCTGTGATTTGGAGTTTGTTATCAGAGGAGTAGCACACTTTTTGCTGTGCAAGCTGCTGTTGCAAAAGCTCTGCTGTGTTTCAACATTGGCAATGTCAATGCATTTGCTGCGATTCTAGAGCAGCTGGACATCACGGTATTCAGCAGCACATCCCTGACTAGGGAGGGCTGTTGTTAGAGTGTAACCTCAAATAGAGAAAAGCATCCAAAAGTCTGAGAAAGCTGGTTAAGAAGAAGCATAAGGATGGGATGCATCCAGATTATGCTACTGGTGCATTTTCATAAGATTTTATTAGTATTTTTCCAATAAAGGTGTTCTGAAATGTTTTTCCTCATTTACTCAAAGCAGCAATTTTGGCACATTTGCCAAGTTGGAGGAAAATTAACTTCTGTCCCATTCGAGCTGTCAGTATAATTCTTTTTTTTTTTTTGACAGAAAGATAAATGCATGCAGTGTGCAATATGCCTATTTTGAAGGCAATATACAGATCAAAATTTTTTTAATTGGGTCACATGCGTGACAGGTGAAGGTGGCTTTTTTTGTGAGCATTGATGTCCTCTAACTCTTGTCGAAATCGGCTCAGCAAATTGATTTATATAGCATATTGCACTCCTTTAAAATCCTTCATTGCTTTTTACACTGTCGCCAATGTTTTGGTGCTTCCTGCTTATATGCTAATTAGGTTACAAACAAAGGACCCAAATTATACATTGATTGTGGAGTATCTTGGAAACTACTTGACCTATCAAAAAGTAATTAAATTTTTTGATTTTGCACATCTAAATACACAAACTGTGAAAATTCCGTTCAGATCCATACATAAAAACGTTGCCCATCAAGGGTAGGATCCCTCCTTAACAAATGTATCAAGGTGTTGACCAACCACGTAGAGCTGGCAATTCTCTTGTGTGTTTCTGCATTACATGATCAAATTAGAGCTGTGGAGTCTAAAGGAATATTTTATATTTATTACTTGTACAGTCGAACCCCTTTATAAGAGAGACTGATATCAGATACAAATAGGTATACCAGACCTCAGTGTGCCTATAATAAAATATAGGTTGATAAGAAAATGCATACGAGGTACCTTGCTTATAAAAGACATCTCATATAAAAGACAAGAATTGCTGCCTAGAGCCTGCCTCTTATAAAGGGGTTTAACTGTTTAACTATAATATAGTAAACTAAGTTCACTTTCTTGTCCCTAAAGTCTTAACTCCACTCTGTACTTGTAGCATATTTTCGGGGATAGAAAATTTAGTTTATTCTGATGCGCCACCATTTTAATTTCACTACGATTCTCCCAGGATGGTCGAGTTGGGCCCCCGTATAAAACTCAAGTTAGTTAAGATTGAAGAAGGTCTGATGACTGGAGAAGTGATGTACCATGCATTTATTCAGAAGACACCAGAGCAGATCAAAGCACTTCGTGAACGACGGCTGGAACTCAAGTAAGTGTGCACAGAAGTTTGTGTATACGCTAAAACTTCTTTTACTTTTACTCAAGTTAGTTTGAAAGAACTTATAATTTTAACTCGTGCTCTGGTACCAGCAAGCATATGCAACACACATTTAATTGCATCAGATTTGCTAATTTGGGCATATTTTTTCACAACCAATTGTAAAATTCCGGTCAAGCCCCCACCCCCCTTTTTTTTGGAAAACTTCAAATATGCGGTACATTCTCCCCTCTTACCACTTTCACTGTTTTTATTTGCCCAGCGAGGGTGAATGAAAACACTGAATGCATGCACGTTCAATAAGGCATTTAATTATAAGCGTGTTTGTGCATTTTTTATTCTTGGCAGCTCTTCCTCTGCCATCTTTATTCATTACCGAGCAAGGTCCGCTCTCTCCAAATCCTTCATTATTGGGAGAGAGGGGCTTGCTCGGAATTTTACGATAGGTAAGTGAAGAATTCCTGGAGCATGCCGTATCTGAAGTGCTGCAAATGTGCAATGCAAGAACGATGCTAGCGTCCAGCCGAAATGACAGTATAATCTGCTTTGCCGTATTCATCAGCATGAGCGTGCAATAACAACGGGAAAGCCACAATGCTTGTTTGTCATTTGAATTTGTCACCGCATTGGTCCTGTGCCTTTCAACTGTGTTTTGGCCATGCCTAAGATATATTCACAGTGTTTGTGGCTAACAGTACTGTATCGTTTTGACAAAACATGTGTTGGCCATATGTGTGTCATTAGAAATATGCATATACATGGTAAAAGCTCATGAGGACAATGAGTGGTCCTACCATGATTCACATGCTGGCTCAAAGCTCACTGGCTACATGGTGATGGACGAAAAATCATTATTTTATTTTATTTTCCTCAAGGGTCCCTAACAGAAGGGACATTACATGAGGGGTGGGCATACAAGAAATGGGGAAAGGCAAAGTTGGATGTGCAACAAAACAAAAAACAAATTTTAGGACATAGCTGAAGTGGCAGAAACAAACAAAACAAAAAAAATTATTTATTTATTTATTTATTTATTTATTTATGATACCTTACAAGCTCAATGAGAGCATTGAGTAAGGGCGGTCATCAATAACATGGAATACACAGAAAATAACACAACATCGTGACAAAGCGTGTCTAGTCACTGACACTCAAACAAATGTTATACGCGAATGTTTACCGATATGCAGAAAGCTTGAATAACAAGAAATTCAAGGTACATGAATTCAAGGTACATGGCCGAGGTGTACAACATACACACGCATTTTCCAAACACACATACTGCTAGCCGTACGAAGGCGTTTACCAATATAAATTGCAAGACAACGGTGGGTACAGCAAAAACTAAAGAGAACCAAAGAGAAGTGTGAAACTAGGTGAGTGGCACAGCTGCAGCTACAAACATCAGTGAAGTTAGAGCGATTAGGGCGATGAAAAAGGATTACACACATGTTCGCGAAAAGAATCTGGATCGATGATGGAGGCGATGCAGTCGGGAAGGTCGTTCCATAATGATATGGCCTTAGGAAGCGCTGATAAGTTGAATGCCTTCGTTTTGCCGTAAATGCGAGTGAAACTAAGGTGATTGTGCAGGCGTCTGGACATGCGCAATGGTGCTGTTAGGGGTAGCGTAGAACGTCTTGTGCTGTGAATATATTTATGCAGCAAACATAACAGTGCAACAGAGCGATGAACGTGCAATGGCGAAATAGAATGTTCTTGTTTTAATGTTGTTACGCTGCAATGAGTGCTATAATTGCGAGATATAAACCGGGCTGCTCTGTTTTGTATGGACTCTTGTATGTATGGTTGTAGAGAAGAGGGTGGAGGTAACAGGTACATTTGTTTGTGGACTCTAGATAAAAACATTTTGCAGAGAAAAAAGATACCACTTATAAGGCACAAAACATTGCCAAGTACACAAAATATACATAACGCCATACTAGGAAGATGACACTAGAAACCATTACACAAGAATTAGCATGGTAAGTCACCCAGAAAAAAATTATTACGGTTCAGTGATGGTTTACAGGGAATTTTTAAAGCCTTTGGCATCCTGTATGCTAACAATAGTATCCGGTAGGGCGTTCTATTGTCACAATGCGAGGAATTCGAGCACACAGCGAATGTTAACGGTTGGAACACCACACAGAAATTGGGCTACGTTTATTTTCCGCTTCAAGACGGAGCCCGAACATGGTTCACGAATCGCGTGTGGTCGTCTTGGGACGAGTTCCGGCAGAAGTTCCTCGACACCTTCGCGAGCACTGAAAGACGAGAAATCGCACAGCGTCTCCTCGAGTCACGGATTCAGAAACCAAATGAATCCGTTACGATGTTTGTTGAGGACATGGCGCGGCTATTTCGTCGAGCAGATCCTAATATGCCCGACGCCAAAAAGGTTAGCCACCTCATGCGGGGCATTAAGGAGCAGCTGTTCGCTGGTCTCGTACGAAACCCGTCTACAAGTGTGGATGAATTCTCCAAGGAGGCGACATCTATCGAACGCGCACTGCATCTACGTTATCGCCAGTATGACCGCCCAACCCACAGTGCACCGATCAGCGTGGCAGCCTTTACCACAGCAACAACACCCGACGAAGGTTCTTTGCGCCAACTAATACGAGAAATCGTACAAGAAGAGGTCAAGAAACTCGTCGCCAAACCGAACGACTGCGCGATCGCCTCAGTAACGGAAGTTGTACGCCAGGAGATCAGGCAAGCGCTCTCGCTTCCTGAGCCGAACACGAGCACTCCCCGGGCAAGCTATGCAGACGTAGTCCGCCGACAGCCAGCGAACGTGCCGACACCACATCAGTACCACCAGCAACATCCGCCGACAGCGCCTTGGTACTACAGAGAAACTTCGTTGCCGAGGCGGCCACCACTTCGCAAAACTGACATCTGGCGTACCCCTGATCATAGGCCCCTGTGCTTTCACTGTGGGGAAGCAGGCCACATCGTTCGGTATTGCCCGTATCGCGCCGCAGGGTACCAAGGGTTTCCTTCTACGGTTCCTCGCCGCCATTTCAACGGAACACCTGACGTCGACACGAATGTCATGACCCCGCGGGATGTTCCTCCTGGGTTTCGGTCACGCTCACCCTCTCCTGGGCGTTATTCTCCATCTTCTAGACGGAGCACCACTGACATGCCAAGAGGGAGATCTCCTAGTCCACGCCGGGGAAACTAAAAGCAGCGACCTCAGGGGGGAAGGTTGCGAATCGTCGAAGTGCTGAAAATCCCCCATTACTGCCAAGCGAAGAGAGACACATTTTCAATAAATCGACGAAAGATGGGGTTGTTACTGCCGAAGTTGCAATTACAATTGACGGACATGACGTCATGGCATTGGTCGACACTGGCGCGGACTTCTCAATAATGAGTGAGAGTCTGGCAGACACGCTCAGGAAGGTTAGAATGGAATGGACAGGACCGCAGATTAGAGGAGCTGGAGGGCAGCTACTCACACCTACCGGAAAGTGCACCGCAAGAATGAAGATAGGGGATGCATCCTTCGTCGCAACTTTTGTTATCCTTTCTGAGTGTTGCAAACAGGCAATCTTGGGGATGGATTTCTTGCGTGAATATGGTGCCATCATCAATATTCCGGACGGTGTACTGACCTTTTCAGCGGATCAAAGCGCTGCGCTACACCGAAAATCCCTACGAGTCATTGACGATGTGACCGTACCTCCATTATCGTGCCGCCTTGTTTCAGTCACATGCAGCGAGCAGAATACTGGAGAAGGAATCGCTGAACAAGTATTGACGCTCCTACTCTCTCGTGGTGTTGCAATTGCCAGAAGTATCGTCAATGTTGTGTGCGGTGAAGCAGAGGTTCTGTTGACGAATTTTACCAACGAGCGACGACACATTACACAAGGCACTACAGTTGCCTACTTCGACGAGATCACCGAAATCCGCGAGTGCTGTGTAGTACAACAGGACGAGCCACAAGCCACGTCAGCCCCACCACCTATTGACGTAAGCTCGGATTTGTCACCAGCGCAGAGACAGCGTCTAGTAGATCTTCTGCACCAGTTCAAAGACTGTTTTTCATCGACCTCGAGGGTCAGTCAAACGCCACTGACGAAGCATCGGATAATAACGGAGGAGACGGCAAGGCCAATACGACAGAACCCATACCGCGTAGCACCGAAAGAGCGTGAAGCAATTCAAGAACAAGTGAAGAAAATGCTCGATGATGACGTCATCCAGCCGTCAAGAAGTCCTTGGGCATCGCCGGTAGTGCTGGTTAAAAAGAAAGATGGAAGCTTGCGATTTTGTGTCGACTACCGCAAGCTGAACCGCGTGACAAAGAAAGACGTATACCCATTACCGCGCATCGATGATTCACTCGACAGGCTGAGGTATGCACGCTACTTATCGTCAATGGACCTCAAAAGTGGGTATTGGCAAATTGAGGTCGACGAGCGAGATAGAGAAAAAACGGCTTTTGTAACGCCTGACGGGCTTTATGAATTTAAAGTCTTGCCATTTGGATTGTGCTCAGCCCCCGCAACATTTCAGAGACTGATGGATACCGTTCTGTCAGGCCTTAAGTGGCAGACATGTCTGGTCTATCTGGACGACGTCATTGTTTTTTCAAAAACATTTGAGGAACACCTGAGCAGGCTGCTATCGGTATTCAGGGCAATAAGATCTGCCGGCCTGACACTGAAACCCGAGAAGTGTCACTTCGGTTTCAAGGAGCTTCAATTTTTAGGCCATGTGGTGAGCCATGAAGGTGTTCGACCTGATCCCGATAAAATTGCGGCCGTCAGAAAATTTCCGGTACCAAAAGGCAAGAAAGCAGTCAGGCGTTTCCTTGGCCTATGCGCATACTACCGAAGGTTTATTGCCAATTTCTCCCACATAGCCTCGCCGTTAACACGACTCACAAGAGAAGACGTTTCGTTCACATGGGGCGACGATCAACAGGTGGCATTTGACGATCTCCGACAACACCTGCAGACTCCGCCTGTGCT